TTATTTAACAGACAGTTATGCTGAAACAAAATATTATTTATTTTTAAAAAATATCTTTTAATTGTATATGCACAGATTTTGTTCCTGATTCGATTTTATTTTGTTTAATCTACTGTAGTTTACTAATTATTTACAAAGTCAACTTAGAAAAATGATTTTAAAGGTTCTAAACATACGGCGAATCAATGACAATAATGAAAGTACAATTATTTCAGAAGAAATGCCTATATTCAGGAGAAAAATATGCCTGTAAGAAATGTATAACAAAAAGTCACATTCCAGTAGAAGAAAATTATTAGAGGGCCTGGTCAGTAGGGCGCTGGGCCCATGTCCGAGAGTTTGTGGGTTCGAACCCGCCGGCCGAAGACTCCCCGTGTAGTAAATGGTGACTGATGAACGTCAAATCTGTCGAATCGCAAGTCCTCCATGTTCCCATAACAAATCCTGGGGGTACTGGATTGGAGATCGATCGTTCTCTGATTCAGGTCAAAATTACGATCTGCGGATAATTGAAAGGGTGCGCCCTATAAAACGGGCTGTGACGTGTGTGTGTGGCTAAAGACGAATTCTGGGCCGTAGACTGGCGCCACTGAAAAAAACAAGAAACGCACACTCTGCCTTAAGTTTGCTCGGTTTCACCAAGAAGGCTTGCCCGTGTGGCAAGTGACATTAGAAACAACAACAACCGAAAACTATTAATCATTATATATTTTTCTTCATTCTTTTTAATGATTTAACATTAATGATTCGTAGTTTTGACCAGAATTTTTTAAGTTCGGACCACTATGTATTTTAGAAAACTTTAAAGCAGTTATAATGTAGCAGTGGAAAGAAGCGCAATATGCTTATGAAGTAAAGGCATTTTACAAAAACGGCCTCGGTTTCCGTGTAGATGCTGCAATAGATAATAGTTTATGTAAGCAGAAGACTTGTCATATGTGTTACGAAAGGATCCTGAGCATCTTTATTTGTGAAAAATAAAGACTTTTCCTTTAGTTTTTAAGTTTGAAAATATTTTTTTTAATGTCTGCTGCGTAATTTTGTGTTATTAAAGCTGATCGTTCACTCTTAATAGCATTTTTAAAATACCTGATTTTCTGCCACATCTTTTAGTTTGTACCACGAGTGAGCGTTTTAATTATGTTAATGATAACACCATGGGAGAATGAAAATTTCTGGCACAAACATCTCAGAAAACTTAATACCAGCAATTTTTGTAGGTCCACATAAATCTTATAACGAGTAATCTAGTTGGTATTTAGGTAGTACAATTTAGGTATTCGCTATTGAATCATAAAAGTTTATTTTGATTAATTACTTCTTTTTTCAGGCAACAAAACAAATTTTTTCAAAAAAATCCCATCGAATTCAATTCACGGCATATACACAGACTTTCGTATTGGACATTCCGATTTTCCTCAAAGTGTTTCTTCATTCGTAACTTAAAAAACGGTATACTTACGTATCTGTTTCGAGACAATTCGCTTCGAACCCCAGAAATTTAGCCTTCGGACATTTTGCCTTTAATGAAAATGAATACCTTTTAACCCACTGACGGCTTAGCAAATGGGCAAAATTGGAAGAATGCTTCTCCCCTATTCTCCTATGTAACTGTATGGAAAAACCGGTTTTGCTATGTGGAGAAAACTGCAGGTTAAAATACGGCTTTTTAAGTACAGAGTCGCCAATGGGTTAAAATAACATTTAAACATAGCCACAAAAATTTAAATTTCAGAGGTTGAAAAGTTCGAGGGCATATGTTAGATGCAAACTATTTAACATAAATATCCCACTTCCCGCTATTTGTGCTTCAATTTAATATTTTGTAATCAGGCCATTTAGTTACGAGAATGTTTTAAAATCATTTTTGCAAAATATCAATAATATTGTTGTTGTTTTTTTTTTTTTGGAAATACATAAATGTATGTGCATTGATAAAACTCCGATTTCAGAACTTTAAAAGAAGAAAAGAAAAAAATACATAAAGAAAACAATATATAAGAAAACAATATTTAACGTGAACTCGATATTTTTCGTGTATCTTCAGATTCGTAGCATTCGTTTTTTTCTTAGAATCAAAGAAACCGAATGAAATATCATCAAGCAAAAGCAGACACAGCAACAAAAAAAAAATCTCTTTTTTTTTCCCTCAAAAAGAGTAATGTGAAAATGCGGGTTCCGAAACAGTTTTTGGGTTGAGTGATTTTCAAGAAAAGCTCATCAGGCTACGTTATAGAGGGGCGAATGGCTACTAATCATTTTAGAAGTCAGCTGCGTTTGACATTTTTTCCCGCCATTTTGTCTCGTGAGGTTTTCTGCTAGAAAATCAGAACGGCAGGCTGTTATTACTGCAACTTTTCATTAGCTAAAGTGGCAAAGAACTTAAAGTTTTCTTTATAGTTCTGCCTTGATTACTTTATATCTTTATTGAGACTGTTTGACTGCCAAAAAAAATAATAAAAATGATACTTTTGATTGTTCTAAAAGGATATTGTGAATCCGAATTTATCGCTGTATTTTGCAGTTAGTCCTGCTACTGAAATAATTTAGAATAGTTTATATAACAGTAACTTATAAATGTCTTGTCATTAATAGGCATTTTATACTTCCTAACCTATTAATATTGTTTAACTCTTAAATTAGAATTTAATCTTCTAATCCTTATAATTTTATTTATCCATAATATGTTGGCGTTCATAATTATCCGTTGCGAATCCAAAGGTTAGTCCTTCTACAGACATAATTTAGAATAGTCAATATAACAGTAACTTATAAATGTCTTGTCATTAATAGGCATTTCATATTTCCTAGCCTATGAATATTGTTTAACACTTAAATTAGAATTTAATTTTCTAATCCCTTTTATTTTTTAAACATAAATGTTGGCGTTCATAATTATCCGTTGCGATTCCGAATTATATGGTGAATCCAAATTTATCGCAATATTTTGTGGTTAGTCCTGCTGCTGATATAATTTAGAACAGTTAATATAACAGTTACTTATAAATGTCTTGCCATTAATAGGCATTTCATACCTACAAGTTTTTAAATTATCAAAATGAAAATAAATTGTGAGAAGATGACTTAGAATTACGCAATGGAGAAGTTCCAATAATTTGTTTGCATTTTGATATTTTTAATTTTTTTTTGAACAATTGACATTTCATGGCTTACTCTAAGTTTGGCTGAACTCACTTTCTTTTTCTTTTAAATTTTAAACTTGTAATGGAGATGAAAGCGAATTTGCGATGAAAAATTTCTCCCTTAAATTGGTACCCTCTTAAGCGCGAAATACTAAATGAAAATACGAATATAATTTTAACAAAACCTATAAAATTAAACTTTTTTTAAGAATTTGACTTTTTTTTTCAATAAAATTTACTGAATTTGTACCGTAACTCTTATTAAGTTAAGTCAATGTTTTGCAAATTATTTACCTATTACAAGACTTTCAAAAAATGTTTATCGTGAGAAGTAACGCAGGCTATTCCCTTAAACCTCAAATGTACCTTAGTGACTTCTCATCTCTTATTTATTTATTTTTTTTTTATCATCAGACTTATTTTAAAACATCGTTTTGATTTGCTAAATTAAATTACATAGTGTCATTTAACTTAAACATGATTTATAGAAATTTAAACATACCTACACGAAAGCCATTATGGATAATGAGCATGAATGAATCATAAACGTCCCTTCACTAAACGAAATTTATTACGTATAATAAATTTTGCAAGAACAGCTTTTTGTGGTGATTAAAAACAGGGCATCAATTAACGAACACAAACTTATAACACCAATACTGGATAAAACAAAAAGGTGAATCAACTCGAATATTTATATTCAGCAGTTTAATCTTACACCTTTAACATTGTTAATACATGGTATTCCGCAATAAGCACCCGTAATGTGTATTTTTTAAATCCTTTTAAAAATCAAGTATAAAAAAAATAATGCATTTTACAAAAAGATCACAAAATAATATTTAAGAGAAAAAGATTTTTAATCTCTGACCATTCTTTCGTATGTCGTCAACAAAAGCAAAGCAGGGATTAAAATCATCTCAAATCAGTTTATTTGATGATGAAGTTTAAAGACGGTTTTTCGAGAAAAGTGAATGCCTTCAAGTCTCACTAAACAAATAATGAAGCTTTTGATTGTTTTGAACCCGCCCGTGTTCTCTTTCCTGGTTCAATAATAATTGGTCTGAGTTTGAAAGCATTCTTATTTTTTCCCTTACAGTATTAATTTATGCCTCCCATCTAATATACATTTTTTTTAAATATATTTTTTATAAAACTACTGAAAATGTATATTAAGGGCAGTCATAACGGAACACCCTGTATTTACTAAGAATATAGCTCTAAGCTTACTATACTTACTAATAAATTCGCATATTGACCGCATTTCGCATTTTTTATTACCATTGAAAATTACTATCTAGCTTTAATCACTTTTCCAAATATTCATGAATGGTTGTCAGAAATATAAAATGCTTAATTAATCTAATTTTAACTTTCAATTTTTAATATGGAGTAGAATCTTTGTGATATTGGTGTGAAAAAGAATATCTATGAAAGATTTTAACAACAAAATGATTGAAAAGAAACATACTTGAAGCTGAATTGTTTACGACGATGAAAGCTGATTCTAAGTAAAAACGAATTTTCAGCGTAGTCTGGAACTGTTTTTCTACAGCTTGGCCTATTTTCGCTGTGTAATAATTCTCGGGGAGGACCGCGTTTCCATTTTGTTGACTTGTCAAAACTTAAAATAATCTTCAAAATTCCACAGATGGTGATCCAATCGTCATTGTTGTGAAAAACGGGCATAAACCGTTCTTCATAGATGTTAATATGGAGAAAAGTTTGTGTTTCTAACAATAATAATAAAGCTAAAAAAATTATAAATAAATGTATAAATAAGTGTGTATTTTAAAAAAAAATAATGAATGCTTTTATTTATTTTTTAGAGTGAACAACTGGGCTTTGAGGTTTGGAAAGTCCATAGTTGGTGGCAGTATACAAGCAACATGTCTACAAAAAATTACTAATGTAAGTGAAAACATTATTGCATGTTTAATACGAAACTTTTATTCTTGAATAATTTATTCAATTACAGTTTTAAATTTGGTATTTGAAATTTTATTGATTAATTATAAAATTTATGAAAAATAAATCAATTTTCTAAATTGTCCTAATTTTTTATCTCTGACACAATCAGACGCTCCTTCCTCGACTCTTCAGTATCTTTGTATCTGATGAATAAAATTGCTTTAAATGTTTGATAATAGCGCGAGTAACTATATATTAAGAGTGGTGGTTACCGAACAACTTGTTTGTACAGTAAAGTTATAATGGCCAATTTTTATATCGCCTTTTCTCAGGCTATAAGAATTAACGGGATTTCACACAAATTTTTTTAGATCGATAAGCGAAACCATTAAACTCTGTTTTATTACGTTATTCTTCACTATTTGAATTTTAATAATGATTTTATCTTCCTTCGTCTTGAATGTCATTCATTTATTAAGACTACGTTCGATAAAAATCTTTAATTCAGAAAGCAATTGTGCTTTTGTAAGCTCCAATCAACCTTGTATCATTCATAACTCACATTTAGTAAGTGATTTTTGATGGGTTTGAACGTAGTGTCTTTAAAAAAAAATCCCATGAATATCCGGAGTTAAAACAAAAATTTTGAAAAAAGGAATGAAAAAAGTTCAAGCGTTAGCAATTTTTATGAGATACAGATTTAATGATCCCTCTCTTTCGGTATTAAAATCCTATTATCTTTTTGCTCGCTAATGGACTTAATTTTAAAACAAAAAAAAAAAATAAAACCTTCACAGTCACTTCTAGCTGAGTTTATTAATAACTTTGGATCCATTAACTTCTACATATTTTGGGATAGAAGATGGTGGTCCTTCTTTAATAAGCGAGAAAAAAAATTATTTTTCATCCTTTCTATTTTCTATACAGTTATTTTAAAAGTTATCTTCGTAAAGCACTATTAGAAATTATTTTTTTTTCTAAATTCGGAGCTCAGTTATTTTTCAATCAGTTTTTTTTTCAGTTTTTTACAGTGACTCTCATTTTTCAAAAAACATTCGATCAATTTTTCTTAAGAGCACTGGAAATTCTTTGATCAAATATATTTTTTATGAGAAAATAGGGTACATGAAATAGGCCTATAATTTTTCTTTTATATTTAGTACAATATATTTTGAAATTGCCCTCCTATAGGTTTTACGATTATTTCAAATCGACAATGAATTTCCTTACATGCTTTTAAAGATGCACCATAGCTAATTTGCAAAGCATGCAAAACACTTTGTTCCATAAAAAATTATTTCAACTATATTTGAAATGCTCATTTCATCATCAATATAGCTGAGTGCCTTCTTTTAAATTATCTGCCACAATGACGTTTCTTTTTTCTTTTCTTTTTTTTTTAATGCTTATGGGTTAGTTCCCATTGTGGATAAATATTAAAATTGTTTTCTTTATAATTCTCAACTTAAAGACTTTATGTTGTTTATAGATACGTAGTTTAAAATAATATAAACATTTATGTACCATACTATTTTTTAAAAAAAAAATTCAACCATTATAAATTAAATAATAAATTATTATAAAAATTTTGTTTTACATAGAATTTTCTTAAGATCAACTAGTTTTATAATTGTGTGCAACTAAATTTTCGGTCGCTGAAATACAATAGATTAAGATTATTTCAATATTTGGTCGATTATCTTACGAATTATTGAACTGATGTTAATAAAATTGGATATGAGCTTAGGTTAATGTAATGCAATAAAATATGTATTCAATAGTTGTAATCTGCAAGCATAATTGTGTAAAACACTGTCTCGAATCGGAAGGTATGAATTATTTATTGCAGAATCGAACAAGGGAAAAAAATATGTGAAGATACGATATGACTCACTCTTAGAGATAGAAATTGTTTAACATTGCAACTCCAAAAATGTAAATAAGCAGTATAGAACTTTCTATAAAAATTGGTCACAATTGTAAATATAATTATAATTATTGTTATAAGCTTTGAAATTTTCAGGCCCTAAATGGTTGTCGGAGAGGAAATGTGAGTTTAATTTCCTCCTTCGGAAAGTCCTAGGCATGTGCTCCATAGGTTTGAGGTCTGGAGATCTGACTGAACAATTCATCCAGTGAATGTTTCTTGCTTAATTTTAAGAGAATCGTAGACCAGATGAACTCTGTAAGGATTCGTATCGTCTTCTATTAGAATAAACACTCTCTGCTGCACTCTCGAAAAGTAAACAAAAGGATTCAAAACCTAATCCCAACTCTAAAGTTCACTATTTCGTGATCAGCGGGAGTTCAAC